CCCCTTTCTCTCCTTTAATTCCATCATAAACGAAAATCATGTTTGGTGGTGTTTATTCCTTCTCGTTCTTATTTACCTGTTACCCATCATTACATTTTTTTGATATTTTTTTAGTAATAACAATGTAAAAAAGGAGGTATTTTCTTGTTAGTCTTATTTATTACGTTTCCTTTTAATTGTAATAACAATGTAAAAAGGGGGTATTTGCGTGTCAAATTACACAGCATTACTTTTCCTACCTTTTTCTTCGTAATAACAATAGTTAAATTAGAAGTGATAACTGTCGTATTAAAATTTCCGTTTTGATGAAGATATTCAATTTTCATTGATGTTATTTTCATACATATATTTGGAAAAAAAGAGAGTAATATCAAAACGCTGATATAAAACGAAACATGAAAAAAGTGAAATTAACAAGTTGTTGTTTCTTTAACTGATATAAAAAACATACATATAAAAAAGGCTTACCGCAGTGGTCTCGTGTTTACAGTATTTTTTTTTTTTTTTACAGTAATAGTTTTTTTTATTTTTTTCTTACAAAACCTGTATCGTCCTTGTTTTGTCTCCTCTTTATTCTTTTTCTATATGGAGAGAAAGTTAGTGTATATATGACCAATAGAATCGCGTGAGCTGTATTGACGATATCATATCACTGATGTTAAGAATATACTTTAATATGTGTCTTCAGTCGTAAATAAATTTTTGTGTTTTAATATTTAAGGGGTTTTATATTTTATTTATTGACTATGTGTCCCTTGCAATGTTTTATACGTAGTCTCATGTCTTGTCAATGTCCATATTCTGTTCTCTCGCAAGTTTCAGGAAAATGAAAAATGGTGATTATACTGACATCTTTCATTTCATTAATTCGACTTTTGAATAATCGAAATAGAGCTACTTGGTAATGGTGTGTGAATATGACCTAATTGGAATGGAGGGATGAATAGACAGATAGATAGGTAGATTAGCAGATGGATGGATTGATATATATATATATATATATATATATATATATATATATATATATATATATATATATATATACATACAGAGAGAGAGAGAGAGAGAGAGAGAGAGAGAGAGAGAGCGAGAGCGAGAGAGAGAGAGAGAGAGAATGCTAAAGACAGAGAAGGAAAGAGAGACATAGACGAAGAGAGAGTAATCTCGTGGATCAAGTTAGAATAATGCATTCGAAAGGACATTTTCACATGGAACTTGTTGCATGCTGTCCCGCTCACTCCCGCGCCCCGTGTTTCACCAACTCTGACTATTTAAACGACACGCACTAGCTTTCTCTTACAGTCCAGCCTTGAACCTCAATCGGCAGAGATGAAGACCTTTTTAGTCGGTGAGTTGATAGATAATCTTCTGAATGGAGACTATGGTGCCTGGATTAATTCGGTTTGCTGAAGACAGGGATTCATCTTTTCTACGCCAGGTATTGAACGTTAATGGTGATCATTATGTTCTAGTGATCGTGGCAGCAGCAGCAGCGGCCCAGCAGTTCCCGGATGTGTCCGTGCGACTCGCCGGCGATGGCTTCTTCCGCCGAGGAACCGGAGCGGCCTCGACCTCGCCCTCCGCGGGAGCATTTCAGCCGAGGGCGACCTTCCCGGCCGACGGGAGGCAGGCCAGTTCCGGCGCTTCAGGAGGCGGCAGATCTGGCTCGACGAGCAGTGCCTCTGGTGCCTCTGGTGCCACGGGCGGTAGCAGGTTCCGGTCGGGCTCCGCCATCGGACGCCAGGCCGACGTAGGCGACGTCGACGAAGTCGTGGACGGCGTGTTCGAGCCTCTGAACCTCCCGGCCTCGGCCTCGAGCCTGCTGGGGAGCATCTCTACCGCCTTCTCCTGTGACGACCTCCCCTACGGCTACTACGCCGACCGCGGCAACGCCTGCCGCGTCTACCACGTGTGCTACCCGGCGCTCTTCGCCGACGGCGCCAGCGTCACGTACCAGTACAGGTGAGGCGCCGCTGGGAAGCTCCTCGCGGAGCGGCAGATGCAGAGAGATAGATAGAGAACAGAGTGCAAAGTTTATTCGTAGAGTGCGTAATGTCTTTTTGTATGGTTGAGTGTGCTTATTATATACTGCACACACACACACACACACACACACACACACACACACACACACACACACACACACACACACACACACACACACACTGATACATAGATACTTCCTCATCCGTTTACCAAACTCTTCTTCGCAGCTTCATGTGTGGCGCGGGGACGGTGTTCGACCAGAGGGAGCTAACCTGCGTGGATCCTTCCGTGGCGAGCCCTTGCGAGGAATCCAACAACTACTACTTCACCAACGAGCAGTTCGGTCTCCCCGAGGAAAAGATTCAGTTCATTTGAGAGAAAAAAAAGTGTCCGCGTGGATAGTTTCCTTGTTGGGAAGGTCGTTTGTAAATATGGTTATTTGTTGATAAAGTTATGACTTTCATTTCTTGTCTTTTTTATTTTTCCAAGAAAAAAAAGGTAACATTGATGGTTG